TTGAGGATTTATGCTCCACAGAGTGCGAAGAGGACAGGGTAAGTAACTCCCCAATTTGGCTTCAGTGGATTACTTTAAAGTTGTGTCTGAAATGGCACCCTATTCCCTATATAGTGCACGAATATTAGTATTTTTCTTAGTGCACTATACAGAGAACATGGTGCCATTTCAGAAACAACTTTAAAGTAATCCACTGAAGCCCGATTGTATAGTTACTTACCCACTTATTGGTAAATAAGAAATACTAGTGTCTCAGAGTATGAGTACTGATCTACGATCAGGTCCCCCCCTGCCTGTGTGATCTTATTTATTGCGATCTAAAAGGCCAAACTGATCCTAAGTCAGCACTCCTACTTTGCTTGATACATGGCCCATGAAGGAGAGGAGTCAGTACAGCAGTAGTAAAATCAAGTCAAATGATCTTGAAACATGTTGATAACATTCATACATTATTACGTGAGATGTGTCAATCTGTACCTTCCTGTTGCAATGTCTGTACACCTTGAACACCTGTACAGGTAACCATCTCTTACATGTAATAAAATAGATATGCATTAGACGGTGTAGGTAGACCGGTGAAAAATACCACTGGCAATCACAGCTTCATGACGGACATAGTATAGACATGGAGTTGAATTGAAAGGTGCTCTTGCATTTAAACAGACACAGAATAAGTCCTGGACTCAAAACCTATTTTAATGGCGATTCTCTATTGAAAGTGCTTGTTAGTCCAGGACTACGAATCATCTGTGTCCAGGAAACCGTCCCGAAAGATATTATGACCAAACAAGTGTGGTTGTGGCTTCACCTGGGTAGCGTCCCAAATGCTCTATGGGGACTCAGGTCAAAAGTAGTGCACTATAAAGGGAATAGGGTGCCATTTAGGATGTAGGCCTCTTTTTTCTATTCATCCTTCTTTTCTCTCTCTCTTTTCTCTCCCTCTGTCACATTCCAGTCATTGTATTGCTGGTTAAATGAAACGTGAGCAAAGCTACTGTATGAATCACTACATGGACTGGACGGTAACACTTTCTATGAACTACATACTGTATGTATAATGCTTTATAACGTCCTTTATAATGCATTATAATACACTAATAATGTTGTGTTACCAACTGACCCTTGAATTTCCAGGTACAGACGCAAACAGGGATCCTGGGTCACGTTCATTAAGGGGGCACTTAACGTAAAAGGTTATGCAATGGACCCCCCCCCATTCGTACCTAATGAACACGACCCTCATGTATCTATGCTGTAACAGAGCCATTACATTAACATTACAAACAATGTTCTGCACCTTATATTTTGGGGCCATGTAGGCCCAACACAGAGGTGACCTGAAACTTAAATGCAGGTACAGTAAATGTATTTTCAACATTGACCTATAGGTGGCGCTACTAACAGGCTCCCACAACGCTCAGCTGAAATGGCACTCTCATCAGGTTTTGTTCAGCACAACAACAAAAACATTTTGTGTACCAATTTTCACGCTTCTACCCAAAATATATCAATTTTAGAGCTTCTCAACTGGGCTAATAATTATAATAGAGAACGTGCATTTTGAACACAGAGATGTGGAGGTCTTCATTGACCAGAGTGGGAGGAGTAACTAACGTTACAAAGAACTGTGAAACAGACATAACAGTGTTACCACGTTGTAAGCAGAGCCATATATATTATAACATACAGTACACCAGTCAAAAGTTTGGACACATCTGCTCATTCCAGGGTTTTTCTTTATTTTTACTATTTTCTACATTGTAGAATAATAGTGAAGACATCAAAACTATGAAATAACACATATGTAATCATGTAGTAACCAAAAAAGTGTTAAACAAATCAAAATATATTTTATATTTCAGATTCTTCAAAGTAGCCACCCTTTGCTTTGATGACAGCTTTGCACACTCTTGGCATTCTCTCAACCAGCTTCATGAGGTAGTCACCTGGAATGCATTTCAATTAACAGGTCTGCCTTGTTAAAAGTTAATTTGTGGAATTTCTTTCCTTCTTAATGCATTTGAGCCAATCAGTTGTGTTGTGACAAGGTAGGGGTGGTATACAGAAGATAGCCCTATTTGGTAAAAGACCAAGTCCATATTATGGCAAGAACAGCTCAAATAAGCAAAGAGAAACGACAGTCCATCATTACTTTAAGACATTAAGGTCAGTCAATCCGGACAATTTCAAGAACTTTGAACGTTTCTTTAAGTGCAGTCGCAAAAACCATCAAGCGCTATGATGAAACTGGCTCTCATGAGGAACGCCACAGGAACGGAAGACCCAGAGTTACCTCTGCTGCAGAGGATAAGTTCATTAGAGTTAACTGCACCTCAGATTGCAGCCCAAATAAATGCTTCACAGAGTTCAAGTAACAGACACATCTCAACATCAACTGTTCAGAGGAGACTGCGTGAATCAGGCCTTCATGGTTGAATTGCTGCAAAGAAACCACTACTAAAGGACACCAATAATAAGAAGAGACTTGCTTGGGCCAAGAAACACGAGCAATGGACATTAGACCGGTGGAAATCTGTCCTTTGGTCTGATGAGTCCAAATTTGAGATTTCTGGTTCCAACCGCCGTGTCTTTGTGAGACGCAGAGTAGGTGAAAGGATGATCTCCGCATGTATGGTTCCCACCGTGAAGCATGGAGGAGGAGGTGTGATTGTGTGGGGGTGCTTTGCTGGTGACACTGTCAGTGATTTATTTAGAATTCAAGGTACACTTAACCAGCATGGCTACCACAGCATTCTGCAGCGATACGCCATCCCATCTGGTTTGCGCTTAGTGGGACTATCATTTGTTTTTCAACAGGACAATGACCCAACACAGCTCCAGGCTGTGTAAGGGCTATTTGACCAAGAAGGAGAGTGTTGGAGTGCTGCATCAGATGACCTGGCCTCCACAATCACCTGACCTCAACCCAATTGAGATGGTTTGGGATAAGTTGGACCGCAAAGTGAAGGAAACGCAGCCAACAAGTGCTCAGCATATGTGGGAACTCCTTCAAGACTGTTGGAAAAGCATTCCAGGTGAAGCTGGTTGAGAGAATGCCAAGAGTGTGCAAAGCTGTCATCAAGGCAAAGGGTGGCTCCTTTGGAGAATCTCAAATATAAAATATATTTTGATTTGTTTAACACTTTTTTGGTTACTACATGATTCCATATGTGTTAGTTTTGATGTCTTCACTATTATTCTACAATGCAGAAAATAGTAAAAATAAAGAAAAACCCTTCAATGAGTAGGTGTGTCCAAACTTTTGACTGGTACTGTACATACATTTCAACAGTGCTCTGGTTCTAATTGTCTGTTATGTAAGGGATAATCAACGACAGGCTATGAGTTCTATGAACATAATGAACGATGTGGAAGGTGTGTTCCACGACACGCTAGCGGAGTGGAACTGACCTTCCACTGAGTTGCATTATTTTCCAGAGAACGCATAGAGCCCTGAGTTGATTATCCCTTTCATACCAGGGCTATAATTTAACACATTAACACATTTGCAGAAATGTGTTAATTTGCCGGTAGAAATGTGTTTAACATCCACTGAAGTAGCTAGCTAGCAAGTTTACTAGATAGCTACAGTAGTTGCCTTGGTAACCAAACAAACAGACTTGCTAGTTTAGCTAACCAAACCATCAGTACTAGCTTGCCACTATGAAAATCAAATTCAACTTTTGCTTTCAAAAGCAGCTCAAACATAGAACATGTAAGAATGAACTATAGCCATTGAATTCTACCGTGCAAATATACAGTGCGTTATAGGAAAATAATGCACGCTCTAGAATGCCCTTCAAGCCAATAAGAAACACATATTCAACAATGCCATGGTATAACATCTTAATAATACCTTTTTATCCCTGAACTAAAACATCAGCAAGACCCCTTCCGTCCACCTTCCTGTGGCTTTGGCAAGAGGGCACAGTATTTTAGGGGGCACAGTAAGTTTCACAGCACCCCCAGCCCTATTCCTTTGTCCTTTTTAAAGGGTGGGGGTTTGTCTTCATCTTTGAACCCCCACAGACAGCAGCTTCCTGTGGGGCAGTCATCAGCCATTATTAATTGGCTCCAGGGAAGCGCTGTAACAGTGTTCTAGAAGATCCAACCAGCTAATGAGTAAGCAGATGGAGGACCAAGGCAGCCAATGAGAGAGCAGCAATGAGACCAAGTCTGTCATTTTACCTTTCTTTTTTCTTGTCTCTTTTCCGTTTCACAAAATGACTTGTCGCTAATGAACATCGATGGTGATCTGAGCAAAGAAGTTATTTTATAATTGTCATAAGTGTAGATGTTATATATCTCTAATACATCTATATTATCAGTCACATACTGCTTGGTTGTGGTCCTCTCAGGACTCTGTCATCATTCCTACAGCTATCTATCTATCTATCTATCTATCTATCTATCTATCTATCTATCTATCTATCTATCTATCTATCTATCTATCTATCTATCTATCTATCTATCTATCTATCTATCTATCTGTCTGTCTGTCTGTCTGTCTGTCTGTCTGTCTGTCTGTCTGTCTGTCTGTCTGTCTGTCTGTCTGTCTGTCTGTCTGTCTGTCTGTCTGTCTGTCTGTCTGTCTGTCTGTCTGTCTGTCTGTCTGTCTGTCTGTCTGTCTGTCTGTCTCTCTCTCTCTCTCTCTCTCTCTCTCTCTCTCTCTCTCTCTCTCTCTCTCTCTCTCTCTCTCTGTCTGTCTGTCTGTCTGTCTCTCGCGCTCTCTGGAGTAATAATACAAAATTAAGAGAAGGAACCGTTTAAGGTGTTTGTCTGCGTCCCAAATGGCACCCTGTTCCATATGTTTTCCACTACTTTTGACCAGGGCCCATAGGGAACAGGGTGTCATTCGGGACGTAGCTGTTGTTTCACTATGATATGAGGCACTGGCTCATACAGGGGTCAACAGGTGCTGGAGATCCCAGGTCTGAACACCTGGTAGTCATACTAGGAGAGGAGGTATACACCCTCCACCTGTCATGGAGAAGACCTCTTCACTCCTTTTTCCAATCCCTCTCTCCTTCTTCAATGCTCCCTGTGGGACAAGAGGAGAAGATTTGTTAGCACAGATGTGACATTTTCCCTTTTCACAGTATCGTGTCGACCCAAACTGTACTGGCCTTTCTTTTGACAGTACATTGTCCACTCCAGCACAGTTCCAGCAGCTATGGTGGATGCGTAACCAGGTCAGCCCAGTACAGCTAGGCTGGGCTCAGTAGTGTGAACAGGACACTAGTGACTACTACAGTACTACAGTACCAGGGGAGTGTTTACCAGGACTGACCTCCGGCTGAGTTGATGTCTGGGTTGGGGACGTGTGTGATGGAGAAGCGGGAGCGGGACACGCTGAAACGGGGGAACTGTGATGCTGCTGCTACTGCTACCGGCTTGTCCTCGGGAGGCTTGACAGCAGGGACCGGGACAGGGATGGCGACCGGGATGGGATCGGAGACCGGTGGCTCAGCTGTAGACGGGCTGGACAACGGGCTGGTCATCAATGGGATGTCATCCTCCCACTCAAACCCTCCACCTGAATACACACACACACACACACACACACACACACACACACACACACACACACACACACACACACACACACACACACACACACACACACACACACACACACACACACACACACACACACACACACACACACACACACACACACACACACACAGGAGAGGGGTTTAGAACTGATACAGCATACCTGACTATAGCTTGTGGATTCCCTCAGGGATCCATTCTTTATCCTCTTGGTCTCTTACTGTTCTTCTATCTGAAAGTATTTTTCACTCTTACCTTCTTCTGACATGTTGCCATCAGAGTCCTCTGAGGCGTGTGGTGCCCTCTCCGGGGGGTGGAGGTGGTGACCCATGGTGGGGTGGGGCTGGAGGTCCGGTTGTGGGTTCTCCCCGCCCGAGGCCTGGCCGCTGAACTCTGCTCCTGGGGGAAACGTGAAGTCAGCCAGCTCTCCTGTGGGGCTCTCCTGGAGGTTAAATAGAAATCAGTTAGAAAGTCTTACATCTACCAGTATAGAGAACAATAATTAAACTGGCCCAACTTTAAACATCACTTTTATGTTGTGTGACTGCTTATAAATGATTTGTGATGCATCTATGCAGTGGTTATAAAGACTATGAATGCTCTATAAAGCGTGGGGCCTTTTTTATCCAGTATGAAGTATTGCCATCCATTGACCATAGTGATGTCACTATGCTAGCAGAGTGACTGACCTGGTCGAACAGGAAGACGGTGACGTCATCAAAGAAGGACACGGCTTTCTTCTTCCTGTGCAGCTCGTCGCAGAAGGACTGTGTGAGGAGCGCGGGCATCTTGAGGAGGCTGCGGAGGTTTCTGGCCCCACTGCTATCGCTCACCACCACCGGCACCCCCATCACCTAGTCAAGTCAAGTCAGATTTATTTAAATAGCATTTTACATCGAGTCAGTTACAACACACTTTATATCAGTGTGTCTTCATCCTGGTCCTGGGAACCCAAAGTGGAGCACGTTGTAGTTGTAGCCCTAGCATGAACACACCTGATTCCACTATTCATGATGAGTTGATTAGTTTAATCAAGTGTGTTAGTGCTTGGGCAGAAACACATACAGTGGGGAAAAAAAGTATTTAGTCAGCCACCAATTGTGCAAGTTCTCCCACTTAAAAAGATGAGAGAGGCCTGTAATTTTCATCATAGGTACACGTCAACTATGACAGACAAATTGAGAAATGTTTTTCCAGAAAATCACATTGTAGGATTTTTAATTTATTTATTTGCAAATTATGGTGGAAAATAAGTATTTGGTCACCTACAAACAAGCAAGATTTCTGGCTCTCACAGACCTGTAACTTCTTCTTTAAGAGGCTCCTCTGTCCTCCACTCGTTACCTGTATTAATGGCTACCTAAGTATGACTCCCAATCAGAGACAACGAGCTACAGCCGTCTCTGATTGGGAGCCACCCTGGCCAACATAGATATACAAACACTAGAACCAACACACATGAAAACTCACACCCTGGCTCAACATACTAGAGTCCCCAGAGCCAGGGCGTGACAGAAACAAAATTATAGACCTGCACCAGGCTGGGAAGACTGAATCTGCAATAGGTAAGCAGCTTGGTTTGAAGAAATCAACTGTTGGAGCAATTATTAGGAAATGGAAGACATACAAGACCACTGATAATCTCCCTCGATCTGGGGCTCCACGCAAGATCTCACCCTGTGGGGTCAAAATGATCACAAGAACAGTGAGCAAAAATCCCAGAACCACACGGGGGGACCTAGTGAATGACCTGCAGAGAGCTGGGACCAAAGTAACAAAGCCTACCATCAGTAACACACTACGCCGCCAGGGACACAAATCCTGCAGTGCCAGACGTGTCCCCCTACTTAAGCCAGTACATGTCCAGGCCCGTCTGAAGTTTGCTAGAGTGCATTTGGATGATCCAGAAGAGGATTGGGAGAATGTCATATGGTCAGATGAAACCAAAATGTAACTTTTTGGTAAAAACTCAACTCGTCGTGTTTGGAGAACAAAGAATGCTGAGTTACATCCAAAGAACACCATACCTACTGTGAAGCATGGGGGTGGAAACATCATGCTTTGGGGCTGTTTTTCTGCAAAGGGACCAGGACGACTGATCCATGTAAAGGAAAGAATGAATGGGGCCATGTATCGTGAGATTTTGAGTGAAAACCTCCTTCCATCAGCAAGGGCATTGAAGATGGAACGTGGCTGGGTCTTTCAGCATGAAGCAACGAAGGAGTGGCTTCGTAAGAAGCATTTCAAGGTCCTGGACTGGCCTAGACAGTCTCCAGATCTCAACCCCATAGAAAATCTTTGGTGGGAGTTGAAAGTCTGTGTTGCCCAGCGACAGCCCCAAAACATCACTGCTCTAGAGGAGATCTGCATGGAGGAATGGGCCAAAATACCAGCAACAGTGTGTGAAAACCTTGTGAAGACTTACAGAAAACGTTTGACCGGTGTCATTGCCAACAAAGGGTATATAACAAAGTATTGAGAAACTTTTGTTATTGACCAAATACTTATTTTCCACCATAATTTGCAAATAAATTCATAAAAAATCCTACAATGTGATTTTCTAGAATTTTTTTCCTCATTTTGTCTGTCATAGTTGACGTGTACCTATGATGAAAATTACAGGCCTCTCTCATCTTTTTAAGTGGGAGAACTTGCACAATTGGTGGCTGACTAAATACTTTTTTCCCCCACTGTAATGGGTCCTAAGGACCAGGTTTGGAAACACTGCTTTACATAATTAAAGCTTGAATCTACAGCGGTGAAAGTGCCACATCCGTTTCCCAGGAGGCTGCTGAGGGGAGGACGGATCATAATAATGTCTGGAACGGAGCAAATGGAATGGCATCAAACACCTGGAAACCATGTGTTTGATGTATTTGATACCATTCCTCTGATTCTGCTCCAGTCATTACCATGAGCCCGTCCTCCCCAATTAAGGTGCCACCAGCCTCCTGTGGTCCGTTTGCGATATTACAACAAAAAAGAGGTTACTTCAAACAATAAACACCATTTTTTTCCTCTCTGAAATCATTGCACATCATTGCACGTGCGATAGAACAGCAGAGTATGTACTACCATTCTGTTTTACCACCATGCTGGATGCTCATTTCCTCTAAACTAAAACGATAAGAAATGTGCCTGGGGCGACCAGTGGCGCTGCTGCTCCTATTGCGAATCTCAGGTTTAAAATATAATCAAATAATGTAGGAAAATGGGGAATAAGAATAAAACAACCAATAATATACCTCCCCCTCACTGTCCTCCTCGCTCAGCTCCTCCTGCAGGTTGTAGCTCCGCAGCTCCTCGTCTGACTCACTGTCATCTGACTCCTCCTCCTCCCCCTCCGTTAGAGGAGCTCGCCTCTCCACCTCCCGACACAGCTCCTGGAGGGAGGGGGAGCAGGAGAGGAGCGACGGAGAGGAGGTGAGGAGGCCAACAGGACCGTTCTGGTGTCCGCTATAGCCCGCCTTTTCCTCCTCCTCTTCTTCCCCCTCCTCATACTCCTCCTCTTCTCCTCCTCTCTCTCCATTCTCTCCATCCTCGTCGACGTGATTAAACTCTGGCATGTCCTCCTCTCCCTCCCCATCCTCCTCCTTCTCTTTCTTCACCTCCTCTCTGTAGTCTATGGTAGAGTCGGAGCCCAGGGACTGGATGGGGGAGTAGTCATCCTCTGAGGCCCTGTGATGGTTCTCCTGGTTGGGGTGTCTGGCTGAAGCCTCCTGCACCATGGAGGAACCCTCAGACACCATGGTGGAGCTGCACCCAGATGCCGGCTCCTCTCCGCTGTGCTCAGACTCCAGGCCTACAGCTTCGTCAGGGGCTGATTCTTTGGCCAGGCAGCCCCCCATCTGAGGGGGGAAGGGGGCCAGCATGGAGAGGCGCGGGCCGGGGGCCGAGGAAGAGGGAGAGGAGGGGGGAGGGGAACCTGTGGTAGTGTCAAACACCACCACTCCATTTGTGTTTCTGTTTTTGTTTCCTGTCAGGTCTGTCAGGTCACGGTAACCATCCTCTCTCTCCGTCTGTGGTTGGAGTTCATCTCTCCCCACAGACCTTATTGTCTGTTTCGAGGCTGTGTGCCCCACAAAGACCTGCTTATCTCCTGGACTGGAGAAGAAGTTACTCCCTTCATCCTGGGGACTCCTCTCGTTCTCTGCGTCGTAGTCAGAGAAGTAGGCAGAGTCCATGTACGGATTCTTGTCACTCAATCCCTTCAGCTGCAGCTCAGTGCAGCCAGAGGAGGAAGAGGTACACAGAGAGACCCCAACCCCATCACCCAGGTCCACCTGCTGAAGGACCATCTCGTCCGATCTCGACCCCAGGCAAACCCCACCGCGAGCGAGGTGGCTCCCACCGAGGACTGGGTGTTGTTGTTGTTGGTGGTGGTTTCCTACGCAGTCCAATAGGAACTCCCCGTTCCCACCTCCCTCCTTTAGGATGAACTCTGGGCTTTCATTGTTCTCTGTGTCGTAGCCGCTGTCCAGGGACTTGGGAAGGAGGGATGAGGAAGTGAAAGAAGAGGAAGTGAAAGAGGAGGAGAGGGAGGAGGAGGTATGGAGAAAGACGTCATCAAGGCTGAAGGCCTCACAGGGGCTGGCTGCGGTAACCGACGACGACAGCGACAGCATGTTCAGGGTGTCCACAGAGTCGGAGGTTCCCACCGGGTTCTGCAGGGAGTGTCCGTGGCGGTGGTGGGCGGGGCTGATATCGTCTCCGACCTCGTCAGCATAGTCCAGGGAAAATTCGGCCAAGATTCCAGAAGTGATGTCTGTGATGTCATCGTCGCTGATGTCCACTTGGCTGATGCTGGAATGACTGGCCATCTCCAACCCGCTGTCCAGCCCTCTGCTAGCCTCAAACAAGGACCCGACCGGCTCCAGCAGTACCCCTTCAGGGTGGGCCAACCCCATCCCCAGCCTCCTCTCCCCCACACCACCAGACATCACCGCCACTGGACCTCTAATGTCTTTAACATGTGAAGGTATCTCCCAAACATGACCTCCCTGTTTCTCTGTCAGGACTGCCTTAGTGCTGAGGCCTGTGCGAGTGTCAGGCTCCATGTATGTGGATGGGGATTGGATACAGCCTGGTTCTGGGATCATCTTGGGATGGGAGAACTGCCTCTCTCCTGTGAGCAGAGATGGGGTTTTACTGTGTCCCACTACAGACACTGTAGTTGTAGTTTTGGTTGTGGGGACGCAGTCCTTAACACCACCTTTGAGGTTAACATTCTTGACAGCAACAGAAGAGCTGGAGAGAGAGTCAACAGGAACACCTCTTAGATGATCTAGACACACAGGATCATCTCTAGCTCCGTGGCACAGGTGAATATATGTAGTAGCACTACTGCCCTCACTGAGCCTGCTAGAGGAAGAGCAGACGCCGCTCTCTCTCCCTGTGGCCTCCATGTAGCCGAAGGCTCTGGAGCTGTGTTGGAGCATGTTGCTACTGTTAGCCGTAGCAGCAGGCCACGAGTCTGTTACAGTAGCGGAGTGTGTTGCAGTGTTGATGTAATGGAGGTCCAGATAGCTGTCCTGTGATTGGCCCGTCTGCCTAAGGTCAAAGGTCATGCTGTTGTTATTGGCCGAGTGGTTGGAGGTCCAGTTGGTGGCTTCTCTCTCGGAGAAGAGGTCACCATCGTTGATGTCCCCAGTGTCCCCTTCTCCTCTTCTCCTGCCCCCCACCAAAAGTCCCCCGTTGCCTGTCACCACATCGATACTAATATGGTTAGCCATGGGTAGAGTCTTTCTGAGGGGAGCCATCATGTCATAGTAGCCTTCACTAACCGTACTCCTGGCTGTGGTGGTGAAGCCTTGGCTAGCCTCGAGATAGGGGTCACAGTGTCCCAGACTAGGACTACTCAGGCACTGGGAGTGGGAGGACCCCACCCCCAGAGGGGTTTCCAGCCTCCCCGTTGGATGACGCAGGTTCCGCTGGGACGCTATGGGTGTGTCCTCTGGTGATTGGCAACACGTCTCTCGAATGGGCGACTGCTCACAGTAGAAAGCCTGTCTCTGATTGGGTGAGAAGTACTGTTGGGACCGCCCCAGCTCCACAGGACTGGCAGTGCTGGCTGTCTGTCTCAGTAGAGGCTCCATGGTCAGGGACACGGCCGGGCTATTGTCAGAGTCATTGGTACTGTGTTTATCCCCGCTGCTGTCGCCTGCTGCTGCTGCTGACCAGTTGGCACTTGACTGGGGCTGGGGCTGGGGCTGGGGCTTTGGGGTCCTGCTCCCTGAGGAGAGGCTACCAGCCTCAGCCTCCAACCCGGGGCTGTAGTCCACCACACTACCATCCAGGTTGATATTACACTCCACCGGCTCCTCAATACGGATGTAGTACTCACTGCCGACCGAAGGGCTGTGGGCGCTCAACACCGGCACCACCCCTACCCCCGACCCTGACCCTGACCCGGAGTGGTCCGACTCGTAGTAGGATGGGGAGACATCCAGAGTGAGCCCTCCACCCCCTCCATCCCCTTTACAGCTGCCCGAGGTCGAGGTGTTCCCGACGGGGTAGTATACGTCCTGGTAGTGTGGGTTGCCCTGGCCCAGAGGCCCGCTGGTGGATGAGGAACAGTATGGCTGCTCGGCTCTCGCCTGCTCCCACTTGTACTCAAAGTTGAGCCCCCCGTAGCTGGTCTCTGTCACGGTCAGGATGTCGTCACCGCTGTCGGAGTGGAAGCTGTCCTGGGAGAAGTGTTCTAGAAGGGGGAAGGAGTTGCGGGAGGTGGAGGCCGGCTCCAACTTCACATCCCCAGGGATAGTTGGTCGGGCTGGGGCAGGGACAGTGGTGTGGGCTGGGGCGTTGTGGCTGTGGGTGGAGCTGCCAGTCAGGTTGTGTCTCAGGGAGTTCCAGCGCTGTTCAAAGTCCTCCTGGACCGCACTGGCCCCCTTGGCACATAGGTAGGTGAGGAGGAGGTGTACCTCCTCACTGTTGGGTCTCTGCTCTGGCTGCAGCCAGCAGAACTGCATCACTTCATACCTGGGGAGGGGTGGGGGAGGAGAGTGGGAGGGAGGGAGGGAGGGAGCGAGAGAGGGAGGGAGGGACAGAGGGAGGGAGGGACACAGGGAGGGACACAGGGAGGGACACAGGGAGGGACACAGGGAGGGAGGGGGGAGGGAGGGAGGAAGGGGGAGAGAGAGAGAGTAAGTTTGAGTAACATGCTTGATAAAAGGACCACTATTTGTCAGACGTCCAGAGAAGGATGAATACGTAGGTGCTTTGTACTGTACGTGTGAGATGCCAGAGGGGTCGAACAGGATGGGAGAAATATGTATTATATGGTCCTGACAAAAAGAGAGCCTTATAGCCATTTTAACAAGGTATTGATTTGAACCCATGTCAGGAGAAGAAGACTAATGGTTGGTTAGTGCGCCAGTATAAAAGGCACTGATTGGTTGATATGAGGATAGGGACTAGTAATGATTGGTTACTGAGCAAAGCATTGTGGTATATCTTGTGTAGACACCCGTGTGCGCGTGCATTTGTACACTTGTGCGAGTGTGTGTGCGCGCATTAGTGCAGAGAATGCCAAGAGTGTGCAAAGCTGTCATCAAGGCAAAGGGTGGCTACTTTGAAGACTCTCAAATATAAAATATATTTTGATTTGTTTAACACTTTTTTGGATTACATAGTTTTGATATCTTCACTATTATTATACAATGTAGAAAATAGTACAAATAAAGAAAAACCCTGGAATGAGTAGGTCTGTCCAAACTTTTGACTGGTACTGTATGTGTGCATGCGTGTGTTTGTCTGTGTGTGTATCTGTGTGTGTGTACTCACCAGCGCTCAGCCAGGGGTACTTTGAGCCGGGGCTTGGTCAGTTTGAGCTGCTGTTCCTTCACAGCGTAGGTCAGGACCTGTCTGTCAGTGTAGTGTCTGTACGGCTGGTTCCCCAGCTCAAACAACTCCCAGATAGTCACACCCAGAGACCTAGAACAGAGACAAACCTATGAAGTAACGTCTTCAGATGAGGAACTTCATAGCTGACCATGTGCCTGACTAGGAAAAACTCAGATCTCAGAGTTGCTCTTGGGCAGGGAAAACTCCTAGCCCTATTCAATAGAGGTTTGATTTGATTTAGCAGGTTTTGATTAGCCTTTGTTTAGTCCCAGTCTGTTTGTGCTGCCATGACAACTCCTTGTCCCTCACTGTCATGCCACATCTGGATTGACAATGAGCTATGGAGTTGGCAAGACCACAAACAGACTGGGACCAGGCTAGATTTGGTTGAAGAGTTGTATCAATAACACCATAAGTCAGATCTGGGACCAGGCTAGGTTTGGTTGAAAAGTTGTATTAATAACACCGTCAGTCAGATCTTGGACCAGGCTAGGTTTGGTTGAAAAGTTGTATTAATAACACCGTCAGTCAGATCTTGGACCAGGCTAGGTTTGGTTGAAGAGTTGTATCAATAACACCGTCAGTCAGATCTTGGACCAGGCTAGGTTTGGTTGAAAGGTTGTATCAATAACACCATCAGTCAGATCTTGGACCAGGCTAGGTTTGGTTGAAAAGTTGTATTAATAACACTGTCAGTCAGATCTGGGACAAGGCTAGATTTGGTTGAAAAGTTGTATTAATAACACCGTCAGTCAGATCTTGGACCAGGCTAGATTTGGTTGTGTTTAATAATCAAGGGAAGAGTTGTATCGTTGACCTTAACAATAACACCATAGGGGCTGAGTCAACCATTGTGTATGGTGCTGATACCATTCATACCTACACCCTGACCTCTGACCCCTCCCCCCTGCTCACCAGACGTTGCTATCCTTGGTCTGGTCCACCACCAGTAGGTTACCATGCACCTCGTCTATGAGCTCTGGGGCGATCCAACGCAGCGGCACCCAGATCTGGTCTGGGGTCACAAAGTAGTCATCCTACAGAGAGAGAGTTTATATAAGATACATTAAGACAACACCCAGATCTGTTCTGGAGTCACAAAGTAGTCATCCTACAGAGAGAGGGTTTATATAAGATACAATAAGACTTCACCCAGATCTGTTCTGGAGTCAGTCCTACAGAGAGAGGGTTTATATAAGATACATTAAGACTTCACCCAGATCTGGTCTGGAGTCAGTCCTACAGAAAGAGGGTTTATATAAGATACATTAAGACAACACCCAGATCTGGTCTGGAGTCAGTCCTACAGAGTAGAGTAGAGTAGAATAGAGTAGAGCAGAATATAAGTTGATTGAAATACTACTTTATTGTCTATCTGTTACTATGGAAACTATTATTCTGTCTCACCCCCTATTCAGTATGGAGAAAAAAATCCAGACTGGTTTATTACTGTAGACTCACCTAGATTGGTTTATTACTGTAGACTCACCAAGACTGGTTTATTACTGTAGACTCACCTAGACTGGTTATTACTGTAAACTCATTAAGACTGGTTTATTACTGTAGACTCACCTAGACTGGTTATTACTGTAAACTCATTAAGACTGGTTTATTACTGTAGACTCATTAAGACTGGTTTATTACTGTAGACTCACCAAGACTTGTTTATTACTGTAGACTCACCTAGACTGGTTTATTACTGTAGACTCACCAAGACTTGTTTATTACTGTAGACTCACCTAGACTGGTTTATTACTGTAGACTCACCAAGACTTGTTTATTACTGTAGACTCACCTAGACTGGTTTATTACTGTAGACTCACCAAGACTTGTTTATTACTGTAGACTCACCTAGACTGGTTTATTACTGTAGACTCACCAAGACTGGTTTATTACTGTAGACTCACCAAGACTGGTTTATTACTGTAGACTCACCTAGACTGGTTTATTACTGTAGACTCACCAAGACTGGTTTATTACTGTAGACTCATTAAGACTGGTTTATTACTGTATACTCACCTAGACTGGTTTATTACTGTAAACTCACCAAGACTGGTTTATTACTGTAGACTCACCAATATTGGTTTATTACTGTAGACTCACCTAGACTGGTTTATTACTGTAAACTTATTAAGACTGGTTTATTACTGTAAACTTATTAAGACTGGTTTAATACAGTAGACTCACCAAGACTGGTTTATTACTGTAAACTCACCTTGTATTTGCTGTGTGAGAGGCCATAGTCTCCTATCTTTACTGTCATCTCTGAGGTCAGAAGGCAGTTCCTTAAGGCCAGGTCACTGTTGGGTGTAAGGGGGAGAGAGAGGAACAGTTAGTCAAATTTTTACATTATAGTCATTTAGCAGACGCTCTTATCCAGAGCGACATACAGGAGCCATTAGGGTTAAGTGCCTTGCTCAAGGGCACATTGACAGATTTTTCACCTAGTCTGCTCGGGGATTTGAACGAGCGACCTTTCAGTTACTGGCCCAATGCTCTTAACTGCTAGGCTACCTGCCACCCAGTCACCAAACCGGACTAAACAATATGTAATACTCTGATCGCAATAACACTGTATCACAAGAAACCAATTCCATTCAATCATTATCATTGAATGTATTGTACCACATGAAAACATTATGCTTCACAACATTTACCACTAAATAGCATAAAGTATTGCACCAGTACTGTATCTAAGTGGATTTCTCGTTTTCTCTGTAGCTATTTCCGACTACTCCACAGGCAGCCAGATTTTGTTGATCTTAACTCTACCTATAATCAGCTCCTCAGCACATTGATTGGCTGCTACCATGGTAACAAGGAGAGAGGGGTTCCCCCCGACAACAAAATCACTGATGCTGGAGTTTGTGAGAGTCACTCAGGCAGCACCAGGATGTTGTTACCGGGACAGACCAGCAGGGGACTCCAGAGCAACACAGCTTCAGTCATATCCTTACATATTTTCATATTTTTATTTAACATTTATTTAAACAGGTAAGGTAATTAGGAACAGATTCTGATTTATATAATATCCTCAATATCATTTCGAGACAGACCAGCTCCACTCACAGTCATAGTTCTATCTAGGGTGTGATGTCTGTCAGAGTGAGACTAGATCCTTCAAAATGCTCTTTATCCTCCTGATTCAGTTCTCTCTATCTGTTTTCTGCCTTTTGTGTAAATAAATGTGGCATATGTCACAAGTGTATGCTACCGTACATACAGTGTATATCGTTGCTCTTCAATACAACATATCTGAAAATATTGCTATGGAATGATTGATATGTTCCAGGGCCTAAATTTGGACTTGAGTTCGTAAGGAAAAGTTGACCTGGGACACACTACCTGTACCTGTTTGTCCCGGTGTCCACTAACCCACCTGTGAATGAAGTTGTGTTTGTGCAGGTGTCCACTAACCCACCTGTGAATGAAGTTGTGTTTGTGCAGGTGTCCACTAACCCACCTGTGAATGAAGTTGTGTTTGTGCAGGTGTCCACTAACCCACCTGTGAATAAGTTGTGTTTGTGCAGGTGTCCACTAACCCACCTGTGAATAAGTTGTGTTTGTGCAGGTGTCCACTAACCCACCTGTGAATAAGTTGTGTTTGTGCAGGTGTCCACTAACCCACCTGTGAATAAGTTGTGTTTGTGCAGGTGTCCACTAACCCACCTGTGAATAAGTTGTGTTTGTGCAGGTGTCCACTAACCCACCTGTGAATAAGTTGTGTTTGTGCAGGTGTCCACTAACCCACCTGTGAATGAAGTTGTGTTTGTGCAGGTGTCCACTAACCCACCTGTGAATGAAGTTGTGTTTGTGCAGGTGCAGCAGGCCCGAGGCGATCTCACATGCCATTCGCTGGAGGGTCAGGGGATCAGGGGTCACGGAGTTAGCCGCCCGACAGCTGCGCAGGTAACTCTTCAGGTCGCCCTGATGACCAGGACAGGAAGTGATGTCATAAAATGATTAGGCATTCTATGGCACCATATTCCCTAGTGCACTATATAGTTGTGCAGTATATACGAATATAGGATGCCATTTGGGATGCACACAACATATGTTTGTAATGTATGCATGTATAATAGCCCATCCCAACTTGCTCTCATCCACTTCACCTTCTATTTTGTGGTCCTCTGTAGCTCAATTGGTAGAGCATGGCGCTTGTAATGCCAGGGTAGTGGGTTCGATCCCCGGGACCACCCATACGTAAAAAAAATGTATGCACACATGACTGTAAGTCGCTTTGGATGAAAGCGTCTGCTAAATATTATATTATTATTATGTTTGCTGATCCTTAAGGTGTTAGCAGTATGGTGGAAGCTCTGATCTGTAAGCTGATAGCGGTATGGTGGAAGCTCTGATCTGTAAGGTGTTAGCAGTATGGTGGAAGCTCTGATCTGTAAGGTGTTAGCAGTATGGTGGAAGCTCTGATCTGTAAGCTGATAGCGGTATGGTGGAAGCTCTGATCTGTAAGGTGTTAGCAATATGGTGGAAGCTCTGATCTGTAAGGTATTAGCAGTATGGTGGAAGCTCTGATCTGTAAGGTGTTAGCAGTATGGTGGAAGCTCTGATCTGTAAACTGATAGCGGTATGGTGGAAGCTCTGATCTGTAAGGTGTTAGCAATATGGTGGAAGCTCTGATCTGTAAGGTATTAGCAGTATGGTGGAAGCTCTGATCTGTAAGGTATTAGCAGTATGGTGGAAGCTCTGATCTGTAAGGTGTTAGCAATATGGTGGAAGCTCTGCGTCTACCTATCCAGAACCTTCTGCAAACTTAGAAGAGATGGGGCCCAGAGGAAAGGGTACAGAGCAGATTGTCACTGGCTGTAACAATACTGTATTCCACCAACAGGGGGAGCAAGTATCCATCTCACCAGAGGACAGAACTCCATATAGCAGGTAGGGTGTGACCTCTGAGATGGGGGTTAGGGGTTAGGGGGTTAGGGGGCTAGGGGATGTTTCTCTCACCAGAGGACAGAACTCCATGATTAGTAGGTAGGGTGTGACTTCTGAGCACTGTGCCAGGCACTGCAGTAGGGCTGGGTTCTGGAGGACACTGGGGGAAGGGGGGAGGTAGAGGAGATGGGTCATAGTTCAACAGTCACGTTTACAGTCACAGTTTATAGTGAACATACAATCAGAACACATGGAAACAGGTAGCAGGATAACCATGTATAGCCATTCATTCATTCATTTATCCATTCATTCGTTAATTCACCCATTCATTAACTCACCCACCCACCCATTCATTCATTTATCAATTAATTAATTCATTCATTTATCCATTAATTAATTCATTGATTTATCCATTGATATATCCATTCATTCACCCATTTATTCATTCATTCATTGTACTGGGTAGTGTGGGGGGGGGGGGGGGGGGTACACAGGGTATGAGATCCATATTGTTTTGGTTCTGACCGGTATGGCTGTGCCTCCTCCAGGAAGTGCATCTGGTCCTGGACACTGGCACTGGCCTTCAGCTCCTTGACCACCACCTGGGTGGCACTGAGCCCTGCATTCACCTCCCCCAGGAGAACCTATACAGGACCCACAGAGACACAGTCAGAGAGACAGAGATCAGTTCCTTAACCACTACCTGATACCTGCATTCACCTCCCCCAGGAGAACCTACACAGGACCCACAGAGACATAGACAGAGAGACAGACGGACACACACACACACACACACACACACACACACACACACACACACACACACACACACACACACACACACACACACACACACACACACACACACACACACAGAAAGACAGAGAGACAGAGAGACAGATAGCCAGAGCACAACGTACAGTGCAGCACTAACTAAAATGGTTTGGCCCAGGAAGCAATGCAGATTAAATGGAATTCAGTGTGACATGTAGATAGTCACAGTGCTCAGACAGACAAGGCTGTAGGTCAGGTTTTGGCCCTAACAAGATCAACACCACATGACATACACATTCCACACACACTACCTCACAGCACACAGTAGTGTGTCTCAAATGGCACCCTATCCCCTATATAGTGCACTACTTTTGACCAGGGCCCATAAGGATTTGGCCCAAAGTAGTGCAATATATAGGGAATAGGGTGCCATTTGGGATGCTGACAATAACATGGGGGAAAGCGGGAGGACATAGGAGAGAGGGAAGATATAGGAGAGAGGGAAGATATAGTAGAGAGGGAGGATATAGGAGAGAGGGAGGATATAGGAGAGAGGGAGGACAAAGGAGAGAGGGAAGATATAGGAGAGAGGGAAGATATAGGAGAGAGGGAAGATATAGGAGAGAGGGAAGATATAGGAGAGAGGGAGGATATAGGAGAGAGGGAGGATATAGGAGAGAGGGAGGATATAGGAAGAGGGAAGATACAGGAGAGAGGGAAGATATAGGAGAGAGGGAGGATATAGTAGAGAGGGAAGATACAGGAGACAGGGAAAGAGGGAGGGAGGAGGGTGCAAAGACACAGGCTGCTGTCTTGTTCCACTCTTTAGCCTTATTATCCCCAAAGTGTACACTCGTTCACTCAAAACATTTGACATTTCCAGTCATTTAGCAGACACTCTTATCCAGAGCGACTTACAGTAGTGAGTGCATACATTTTCATACTTTTTTGTACTGTTCCCCCATGGGAATCGAACCCACAATGGACTGGTATAACACATTGTGAAACCTCCCTCTAGCTGGTCCATTCTTAAACAATGCATTTACTGTACATCCCTGAGGGGAAGTGAGCTAGCTAGTGCATACTTCAGGAAGAAGGGTAGCGAATCAGAACCCAGCTACAGACTTTGGGAGGACTGGTTTCTGTGTCGTTACTATGTGTTAAGAAGATGATCCGGGGTGCAGCTCACCTTGCCAAACCAACCATGTCCTATCTCCTCCACATAGAGTAGACTGTGGCGACCCAGCTCTGACGATTTCAACAGCTGGACTGCAGAGACAGAGAGAAGGGGGGGGGGGGGGGGGAGAGAGAGAGAGTTAGACACATTCCAATTGTAGCCTGGAGACAGACACATTCCCATCGTTAGACATCTAGACTGTTAGAATGAGAGAGAGAGGGAAGGAGAGGGAGAGGGGGAGGGAGAGAGAGGGGGAGAGAGGGAAAAAGAGGGAAGAAGAGGGAGAGAGGGAGAGAGGGAGGGAGAACGAAAGAAGAGAGGGAGAGAGAGAGCAGCGAGGAGAGACGGGAGGGAGAAAGAGAGGGAGAGACGAGAGGGAGATGAGACGAGATGGGAGAAGAGAGGGAGGCGAGAAAAGAGAGGGATGCGGAGGAGGGACCGACGATGCGAGGAGCAGTGAGAGAGGAGAGTGAGAATGAGAGCGGGAGAAGAGACACGAGTGCAGGGGAAAGAGAGGTGGAGGATGAGAGTGTGGAGGAGCACGGAGGGAGAGAGAGGTGAGACGAGGGAGAGATGGGTGAGCCGGAGAGAGACGAGGGATGAGATGAGGGAGAGAGGGATTTAAGACAGGAGAGCAGCACTCGAGGAGATCGGAGGGCCGTATCTGACGAGAGATAGAGGAGAGGGGAGCTATAGAGTGAGAGAGTGCGGAGTGAGACGATGCCTGAGGACTCAAATTTTGAAGAGGGAGAGAGGAGAGACCGAGCAGATGGAGAAGGAGAGAGGGAAGAGAGGAAGAGAGAGGGGGAAGAGAGGGCGGGAGAAAGAGACGGGAGGATGGACGAGAGGGACGGGACGAAAGGGAAGAGACGAGAGGGAGAGGGGGAGGAGCAGAGAGGGGATGAGAGAGCAGAGAGGGAGGTTGAGAGTGGCTTGAGGAGAGACGAGAGGAGAGAGATGAGAGACGAGAGAGGAAGGGAGGGATGAGAGGGACGAGAGGGAAGAGGAGGAAGATGACGGGAGGGATAGAGGGAGAGAGGGAGAGAGAGAGGGAGAGAGAGAGGAAGGGAGGAAGAGAGGGAGAGAGGGAGAGAGAGAGGGAGAGAGAGAGGGAGAGAGAGGGAGAGAGGGAGAGAGGGGCAGTAATAAAGATAGACAGTAAAGTGTGGGTCATCACCACTCATCACATCTCAATATAAGAATGAGATTCAAATAGAAATGCATAAGTAATACAATGTGAATACAGAGATAATAACAGAAGACAACTGGAGTGCCACAGGCAGAACAACAGAGAGAGAGAGAGAGGGATACAGTTAAAAAGCACATCATCTTAGTAATAATAAAGAGATATCTCCTAGGGAACTAAAATGTTGCTTTTAAAAGTTGAGCAGAGAAAACAAATGCATAATCGTCCTCAAACAAACTGAAGAGACAGAAACTCCTCTGAAGGCACTATGCTGTCAGCTTACATGGATGCATCCCAACTGGCACCCTATTTTCTATATTGTGCACTACCTTTGACCAGGGCTCATAGGGCTCTGGTAAAAAGTAGTGCACTAAGTAGGGAATAGGGTGCCATTTGGGACTCGACCCATGGTTCCACTCAGACACCATTACAGAGTTACTCTTAAGAACTGATAACAACTCCTCCTAAATAACCCCAGTCTGTCTATCTGTGTCCACAACTCCTAAATAACCCCAGTCTGTCTATCTGTGTACACAACTCCAAAATAACCCCAGTCTGTCTATCTGTGTCCACAACTCCTAAATAACCCCAGTCTGTCTATCTGTGTCCACAACTCCTAAATAACCCCAGTCTGTCTATCTGTGTTCACAACTCCTAAATAACCCCAGTTTGTCTATCTGTGTTCACAACTCCTAAATAACCCCAGTCTGTCTATCTGTGTTCACAACTCCTAAATAACACCAGTCTGTCTATCTGTGTCCACAACTCCTAAATAACCCCAGTCTGTCTATCTGTGATCACAACTCCTAAATAACCCCAGTCTGTCTATCTGTCAACTCCTACAGAGTTGAGCATCATATTACTAGAAACAAGTACCTTGACGAATCCTCATCATTCAGAGATGATGATGATGATGGTGAAGGTGGTGATGAAGTTAAAGTAGCTGGAGTGGTGGAAAAAGTAGCTGGAGTGGTGGAGCGGCCAGCCGTCCACCCTGAGGTAGAGCACCGTGTGTGTGTACGGTGTGTGTGCGGTGAATGGGTCCGGTCCCAGAGAGGACGGTATGTGTGTGTGAAGAAAAGCTCTGCCCGTCCACAGAAGTGATGAGAGACCAGCCACAGAAAGTGTGTGTGAGAGTCCATGGCCCCAGTCCTGGTGTGTGTGTCAGAGAGAAGAGAAAAACCCATGACCGCTGGGGCCACGTCAGCCAACCCTCCACAGGGTTTAACCCTACGAGCCCTCACACAGCTGAACAAGCTGCCTGCCTGCCTCTCTCTCTCTCTCTCTCTCTCTCTCTCCCAGTCCAGAATCGCTGATCGCACTGCATCCTCCTCACACTAAGACCATGTTTCAAACTAACTGTTCCAACCCCATCCATGACCTTCCTCCCAGCTGTCCCCGCGTACTTCTCCTCTCTCTCTTTTGACTGGGTCAGCTCTGCCTCTCCTCTATAGACTGGGTCAGCTCTGTCTCTCCTCTATAGACTGGGTCAGCTCTGTCTCTCCTCTTTTGACTGGGTCAGCTCTGCCTCTCCTCTATAGACTGGGTCAGCTCTGCCTCTCCTCTATAGACTGGGTCTCAACTCTGTCTCTCCTCTATAGACTGGGTCAGCTCTGTCTCTCCTCTATAGACTGGGTCAGCTCTGCCTCTCCTCTATAGACTGGGTTCAGCTCTGTCTCTACTCTATAGACTGGGTCTCAGCTCTGTCTCTCCTCTATAGACTGGGTCAGCTCTGTCTCTCCTCTATAGACTGGGTCTCAGCTCTGTCTCTCCTCTATAGACTGGGTCTCAGCTCTGTCTCTCCTCTATAGACTGGGTCTCAGCTCTGTCTCTCCTCTATAGACTGGGGCTCAGCTCTGTCTCTCCTCTATAGACTGGGTCTCAGCTCTGTCTCTCCTCTATAGACTGGGTCTCAGCGCTGCCTCTCTCTATAGAATGGTGTTCAGCTGTCTCTCCTCTATGACGGGGTCAGTCTGATATATCATAGTATTAGAATGGTTATAGATTGTGTCTTCTCTATAGACGGGGATCAGCTCTGGTCTATCCTCTAAGACTGGTTCTAAGCTCTTGTATCTCCTCTATTGATGGGTTCAACTCTGTTCCTCTCCTCTTAGACTGGGTATTAGCTATGTATTCTCATCTATAGACTGGGGGGTATAAAGCTCTTCTCTCCTCTATAGAATGGGGTTCAGCTATGTCTCTCCTATATAGAACTGGGTCTCAGCTCTGTCTCTCCTCTAGAGACTGGGTCTAGCTCTGTTATCCTCTATAGACGGCTGAGGTCTCAGCTCGGTCTATCCTCTATTAGGAGCTGGGTCTCAAGCTCGTCTCCCCTATATCGATGGGTCTCAGCTCATGTCTCTCCTCTTTGGTTGACTGGGTAGATCTGTCTCTCTCTATAGACTGGGTCTCAGCTATGTCTCTTAATCGATAAGACTGGGTTCTCAGATCTGTTTCTCTTCTAGAGACTGGTCCTCAGCTATGTCTTCTCCATCTATTAGAATGGAGTCTCAGTCGTCTCTCCTCTATTAGAACGGGTCTCAGCTCTGTCTCTCCTATGTTGACTGGAGGTTAGCTATTGTCTTCCTCTATAGACTGGGGTCTCAGCTCCCTAGTCTCTACTATAGACTGGGTTCTCAGCTCTTCTGAGGCAAGCCAGAGCAGGGAATTCTCAAAACAGCAGGGTCCTGCTATTGTATGTTTGAAAACGAGAAGACAGAAGAGCAGTCCTTCTGCTGTCCCGATGTCGTCTGGTGAGGCTCCACTGTCTTTAGGTGGAGGTTCAGAGGGCTTTCTGTGAGGTTCTGGTTCTAGAGGATGCTTTGTTCTGTGAGGTTCTGATTCTAGAAGATGTGGGTTCTGTGTGCCGTTCCGACGTGAGGTTCTAGAAGACATGTTCTCCTTCTCTGAGCGCCGTGGCCAGCAACGCCAAGTGTTCTGGTCAGGCATGACTCTCTCTCTCTGTCCGTGTGTCCAACCAACCGCCTCGCAATTTCCAATATCTAGCCTTTCCCAAACCCAGACACCGCACTGGGTGTGAACTGGCGTACACTGTACACTGGTCACGCATGGCTCTGTCTGTGTGTGTCCAACCGACTCCGACTGTCAGGCATGTCCGTAGTGTGTCGCCTGACTGACTGACTGACATGCAGCGCACTGTGTTCCCTAACGACACCGGGAGCAGCAGTGACGTAAGAGACACATTATAATAGCCTTCTGTCTGTGTCTCACTGAGACTGACAGAAGCTTTCCACACAGCCCCAACACACACACACAAACACACACACACACACACACACACACACACACACACACACACACACACACACAAGACAACACAGGAACAAGCTCTATTGAGGGATGCAGAGAGAAAGGTCTCTGTCATAGACACCCCACCCCTCCCCCTCCTCTCCATCACCCTATCCCCCCACCCCTCCCCCTCCTCTCCATAACCTATCCCCCACCCCTCCACCTCCTCTCCATCACCCTATCCCCCCACCCCTCACCCTCCTCTCCATCACCCTATCCCCCACCCCTCTGTCGTCTCTCCTGCCCATTCCCTCCTAGGTTGTAGGACCCTGGTGCCATTGCCATACACCACCCTGTCCCTCGTCTCTCATGAGTGTGCTTTTTTGATAGTATGACATTGTATGGATAACCATTTGTTGGGTTTTGATGTTGCAAGAAAGGCATTTCACTTGTGCTGATGACATTAAACTGAAACTATCTCCTCTATTTCTCTGTCTCTCGTCTAACCCCCCATTCTGTTAACACAGACACATCCCTGTCTTATAAACCCATGACATACCACCCTCTGCCTCTATATCTATCCACACCCCCCCCCTATCTATATCTCTCTCTCTCTTTCTACCATCTCAATCTCCCCCTCCACAGTACAACATCCCCAACATTACCCCTCCACAAGTAAACTCACTGTATTGTAACCAGAATGCCACAGTACCTGTCCCATCCGATCGAAGGACTGAATTGTTTGTTTCAGTGAATTT